AAGGACTTGCCTCTTCCTCAGAGCCCTCAAAAACGACAATAAAGTCAAGGAACATCATAAAAGAACAGCTGGGTCAACACCGCGCTGAGTAACAGTCCGTAATGGGGAATGTAGACATCCAACTTCTGACGCGTTTCGAGGACTTGCCTCTTCCTCACAGCATGGACAATTTAACAACTCAATAACCAGACTTGGAGAGTCTTTTTGAAATATAATGCTAGTTGAACTCGGTTTGGGGTGCAGGGTGAGCTTTTGGATACTTCAAATTTCGTACACAAAGTATCAAAGGACACTCTTTGCCTTGACTACACTCCTCAGTATAGTTCCCCTTTTTGTCAGACAGGAGAATGATCAACTCCAAGAATGGTAAATGTCCCAATTCCGCAACCGTGGAGCAGCTGCTCCAAGGGTTAGAGTAGCAAACTATCACTAGGATTCTACACTCAGGCCTGTACTCAAAATGTCCCTGTATACTTGGATGCATCCATCCAATATCAACCAGACACTTCAGTGAATTTTCTGCTCCTCCAGGCCCTAGCCCATTTATGCACTCTTCGGCCATCTACTGGACATCCTCTCCCCTAGGAATTGGCTGAGACCACATGAATATTCAGGTGCAGGGCCTGCCTCTTCCAACTCCGTACTAGCTGTCACTTTTTAAAAACAGAGTGGTATATTTATGTAGAGCAGACTATGACAAGTCCCGTAGATTTGTCCCAGGTTCTCTCCCCTAGTAGGTGTAAAGGCAGCCAGGCACACAGCAGCATGGACAATTTGGAAATATGCAAATAAATGGTGATCAAAATAAACCAACTTAGTACATAATAATCAATAACCTTGATACCCACATCAGGGAAATCTACATATAAATAAATAAGTGTATATTATATAAATAATTGTGTAATACGTGAATCCCCTATCACTGGAAATACACAGTGCACATAGTGAAATATAAATCGTAACACAAATACTGTGAAATGACACACAAAAAATGTGCAAACCAACTGTGGACAAATGGTTAAATAGTCCAAAAAATAGTAACACATATAGTGGTACTCCCACTTCACTCTCATGCAATAGTCGTGCTGTGTAGGTGATTCACAAGTGACAATCCTCCAATAGCCAGAATTCCCCCTCACCTCCTTACTTAGACCCCAAAGGGCCAGCTCGCTTTAGGGATCAACCCTGAGGGGAACCCTGGGAGGAGTCTGTCCTTGTAGGATCGGAATGGAAGAATCGGAAGTCCCTGCAGGTGGCCGCTTCTGGGCAGAGGTTTTGGATGTTATTAACGCCCCTTATCAGAATTCCAGCCAATCTGGCGATGGTGCCTGAACAGGGACCAATCCACAGCACGGCAGTCAAGTTCCAGATTTCTGTGGAAGCCTGAACAAGTTCTAACTAAACGGTCATGGTTTCTTTAGGGCTGGTCTTCAGGTGCATGAGGTGGGTGAATCCTGCCGACTACGCCAAGTTGTGGGTGTGGTTATATTTTCTCTCTGCACATGGGGGTACCTTTTTGTGTGGAGCTTGCTCATCAATACCCAGGACCAGGCGGAGACTGCGGGGTCATGTGAAAAATCTAACGTCAAGGTGGTTCCTCGACTCAGAAATGAGCTTACACTGTGTGCTGTAAGAGTCCATAGTTCCTCTGAAAACATGGCATGCCATATCATTACACACCATGCCTTTAGTAGTTGTTGCGTTAGGATGGACGGGTTGAGCCAGCACCCAATCCACCAGTCCAGCGTACCTCTGTTATCTGACTCCCAGTAACAGAATGGGATCCTACTGAGCACATAGAGCGGAGCTCATTCTTGCTCCATGTTAACTCCTTCACTTCCCGCACCCGGTGACCAGTTCATGGATCTCTATAATGCGCGTCTGTTCCTGGTTGCTATGGAGATGGACCAGTCAGGAGGAAACCAAACACCAACCTCTTTACTATCGGAGGACTTGCCACCGTAGCAGGTACCACACCTATGACTGGTTCCTTCGTGTTTTTAATCTGTGCTTGATTCCTCTTATCAATGGCATTACTCTTCCTTGACTTGCCCCCACCCTTATTTTGTGTAGTGTGACCTCATACTCCATATGGGCTTTACAGACCCTGGTTCTTTAGATACATCAATACCAACATGCACCCCTTTGAATAACTTAAGAGCAGGCTCAGAACAGTTATTGCAACTTTATTGGAGAAACTTCAACATTCCAGTCCAATATGAACAGTCATCACCCTTGTCCTAACTCCAGTTGTGTGGCTGCCCCAGCATACCTCCATGAGGTGATAGTCCATGCAGGCATTCTCTATTGCTGGCTGTCCTCCAGAACCCCAGTGTCTTCAGCGGGACTGCAGTACAGGTGGGCTGGCTGAGACCCAAAAGCTCAGGAACTGAGCACACTTTCCCCCTAGCCTGGATCAGCTGCTAACGTAATAAATTTAGCAGTACAACCTGCTTACAGGGGAGTGGTTGGGGGAGGACAGTAAATGGACACCCCACCCATGGGGTTTTATCACCCACCAACCACTAGTGTGAACAAATTCTCTATTAAGGGGAGGATAGAGAAGGAGCAGTGTTTCTCACAAATGGTCCTTGTCATCTGGGTTTCCATCGGGGTGATCTACATTCAATTTCTGTTGTGCCAGAGGTATTCACCCTTCCCCAGTATATCCAAGAAAGTGTTTTGGTCCCAAAGAAACACAAACAACAATCCCAACCATTATACTACCTGCCTGGAGATTACATGTTCTCCCTATCTTTGCGTGGGTTTCCTCCAGGTACTCTGGCATCCTCCCACACTCCAAAGACATGCTGGTAGATTAATTGGATCCTGTCTAAATTGGCCCTAGTATGTGTGTATATGAATGTGAGCTAGGGACCTTAGCTTGCAAGCTCCTTGACGTCAGGGATTGATGTAAATGTCCAATATATATGTGTAGCTCCCCTCTAGCTAGCTAGGGGGAGCTAGTGTTCCATTTTTAGTAAGGAGGGCTGAGTAGCAGCCTGGGTGTAATAGTTAGCAGGGTTACTGCGAGTCAGATAACAGAGTCTGAGAGGCTCTGCATGTCAGTTCCCTGACACATCCCCCTGCTCTAGAATCTTGGAGAAGATTCTAGAAGCAGTGGGTGGGGTGCGAAGGAGCTCGCCTGCAAACCTAGAGGACCTTAGCAGGAGGCTTGGCATAGGGCCAAGATGGAGTTAGACAGCTGAGGTGCAGGAGCCTGGGAGGGGGACCCAGTTGGGAAGGGACCCACCTCCAGGCAGTGGTGCTGGAGAGGTGGAAACCTCACATCTCATCAGGCCCCAGAGTGAGGACCACCTGTGCAGCAGGGAAGGAGCTAGTCCAGTGGAAGGCCTGAATGCAGCTACCAACCCACCAGCTCATAGGAACAGGACTGAGTGAGTAATTCACCCCCTAGGCAGTTTAAGGGGAAATTAACACTCTGGTGGAGAACCTGATTAGCTACTTACCAAGGGATTCCTTCAGACAGCTGGATAGTGGAGGATTATCTGGGGTCTGGGGTACACCAGGAGAGGCTGGAGAGCTCTCCAAGATGAGATTTTGTTGTGTAAAGACTTGTACATAGTTTCAGGAAGTTGTCCTCAGTTGCAATTTCCTTGGGCTACCCCTACATCCCTCATCACCATCCAAGCTATTTATCCCCTAAAAAAAATCCCCCCAAAAAACAAGATCAAGGACTGTTTACTGTCTTCTAGATGCAAGTCTGTGAGGAATGTGTGTTGTCTGGCTGTGCAGGTCTATAGGGGAACCCAAATCTCTAGGACTCCTAAGGGGGTAGTGCTATATGTGTAAAGTAAAGCTGCATACATTGTTGGCGCCCTATAAATACAATTTATAAACAAATAATAAATAAATAAAAACTAGTAGTTCTAACCCAGCTTTATTGTATCCAAAACAAGAGATTTGGATCTACTAGCCTACGTTATAGATAATCGTTACTGCAGATGTACTGTATAACACTCTATAGACACAGCAAACTGTTGGTGGAACCAGGCCCTTCGGCACATCATCAGATCATGATTAACTTCCAAGATTCAGTCTCATTTGCTGAGTTAATTCCCCCGGCTCCGAGAATTGTTTTAAATTGCTCATCCAAAAGATAATATTTCTCTAAGGATATTTGCGAACTCCCAGAAAGGCTGAGACCTCTGAACTCTGTTTTCTAAATGCGTTTTGGAACAGACGCTCTATGTCGTTAGACAACCCATTAATCACACGGCTGTAACAAATTCATCTTACAAAAGAAAATGTGATTACTTAGCATTCTGTCCCATTTGTCGGACATGGCCCCCAGCAAACACATTAATGTATACTGCAAATTCCAAAACGGGTGTTTACATTCAAATAATGACTTGTGCTCTGCGTGTTGTCCTCATGTCCTGTGGCTTTCATTAAATGTTTGGCGCCATGCCTTACTGTATACAGTTTTCCTAAGCAAACGATTTTTTAAAATCTGTTGCAAAGTATCCTACCTGAAGATTCTGCCAGTCGGTGCACTTCCTGTTGCAGACTTAGCAGCAGTGTTGTTGGCCATACCACATTTGCACCATTGGTCGGCTGTTAGGCTTCCTATAAAGTATAGACATGCCTCCTGCAGGTTCTTCCCTAACAGTACAGAGGCTACCCACCACCACAAGCATTAGTCCATGCACTCCGGGTCCTATAACTCAAGCTATGTCTGTATTGATATTTATTCCTTGAAGAACTTTGACTAGGAGAAGGGTTAGGGCCAGGGGCGGACTGACAACTCATGGGGCCCCTGTGTCCTTGCCCAAACTCAAAAAAGCCTATGAAAAAGGTACCAGGGGCATCTCATGGCGCCCCCTACTGACCCCGGGCCCTCGGGCACTGCCCAAGTTTCCAAATGGTCAGTCCGCCCCTGGTTAGGGCATGGGATACTCCAAAAAGCTCATTCTGTTGAGGACAGAGGAATGGCCAGTACAATGAGACTCTGTGAGAGCTGACTCAGTCCATGCTACCTCTGACACTAACATCCAAAAAGCACACAGTCACCAAGAATCAGTTCAGGGTCATTACTCCCAAGTCCCCAAGGCAGCTGCACACCTTCCAACGTCCTCCGGACACAGTTCATTAAGGGAGACAATCCTTCTGCAAACTTGATCCCTATGGTGAAATTCCACAGCCAGCTCCTCAGGAAGATCACTTTAGGCCCTCAGCCCTGACACTGCTGAGACCTCAAGAACAGCTACACAATCCAAACGCTGCCTTAGAGGTTTGGAACTTTCCTGGGGAGAGAGAAACACTCTCTCTGGGATGACAGACTATTTATCACCTCCCAGCCACCTTCTGAGCACTCCTGTCCAGTGATTGGACAGGTCATGATAAATATTCAGGTTGGTCATTTGAATTTCCCTCCTTATGTTATCATGTTTGGGTGGAAGACAGCACTGGACTGGTGCCACTGGAGCTGCCTAGTGCCAAGTTACTGTGTGGAGGGCATAGAGGGAATTGCTTCCAATGAGTTATATCCAAATTGTAAGTGGTGGATGATAGACTCTGTTGGTATCTAGGGATGCTACCTTTCTGATATCAACAATGGAGGCATTACCGCAGGGAACACTTGAGTGACTGGACAGGAGCGCCCGAAGTTCAAAAAAAGTCTCACTTGATGAATTTAATAGTTGTTTATTGAAGATAAAAGTAAAAAAGTAGAGCCAACGCCTTTGCTTTAGGCTGCTCTGGACTCTGCAGGCTGCAAGTTTGACTGCTTCCCTCTGCTTTCTGGACATTTCCAGAACATAGAGGATGGGAGAGTCAAATGAGCAGCCTGAAGATTTATGCTACTGTAGCCAATCCCTGGGGTGATGTGCCCAGATTGTGGTTGGGGAGTGCATAAATAGTCTGAAACTCCAGAGAACAGGTTCTTCTTTACCATGGAGCCAGAAGGGCTGTTAACCCTTTTTGGCCATCCTGCTGATGGTCCAGTCTGTTCATCAAGGTCATGGCAGTGCTCAGCTGGGTGGCCTATACAGCCACAAATCTTTTTGGAACCAAAAAGAAACTGCCATGGAAGCTTCACAGAGGATTCTGCCTGCTGGAGTATGAGGGAGATATTCAAGTCTTGGGGGCACTATGACCATAGGCATAAGGCAGAAGGATCTCACTGACTGTTGCTCTTGTTAACCCGTTACACTGGGCCTCCAACATTCCAAAAAGTGCCTCACTGCTGTCCACTTTATGTCCTACTACTCAAGGGACTGGGTTAAAAAGCTGCTTTAAAGGGAAGTGTCCCTGAGGAATGAAAGTTGCTGTTTGTCTGGTTGTTGTACTATTATTATTATTATACAGTATTTATATAGCGCCAAAGGGTATGCTCAGCGCTGTACAGTAGCAAGGGGGACAGAACATGAGACAATACCGTAACAATACAATACACGAGGGGTTCGAGGGCCCTGCTCTTTCGAGCTTACAATCTAGGAGGGAGGGGAAGGTGGTACAGGAAGAAATGGCTGTGGGGGATGGAGTGGTGGGAGGAGTGGAGGAGGTTAGTTGTTAGGTGGGGTCAGGTGTTAGGTGAGGTTGGGGTAGGCTTCCCTGAAGAGGAGGGTTTTCAGGGTGTGCCTAAAGGTGAGGAGGGAAGGTGACAGTCTGATGGATTGGGGTAGGGAGTTCCAGAGGATGGGGGAAGTCCTAGAGAAGTCCTGTAATTGGGCATGGGAGGAGGAGACCAGGAAGCGGCGGCATTGTGAATGGCTTTGTAGGTCAGAGTTAGCAGTTTGAATTTGATGTGTTGGGCAATCGGGAGCCAATGAAGGGATTGGCAGAGGGGGGAGGCAGATGTGGAGCGGTTGGTGAGGTGGATGAGTCTAGCCGCTGAGTTTAGGATCGAGTGGAGTGGGGATAGCGTTCGTTTGGGTAGGCCCGGGAGTTGCAATAGTCCAAGCGTGAGATGATGAGGGAGTGTACGAGGTGTTTGGTGGTGTCTGGGTTGAGGAATGTGCGTATCCTGGAGATGTTGCGTAGGTGGAGCCTACAAGATCTAGATAGCAGTTGGATGTGGGGTAGGAAGGAGAAAGGTGGGAGTCCAGGGTGACACCCAGGACTTTGGCGTGTGGGGTGGGAGAGATGGTGGCGTTGTTAGTAGTGATGGAGAGGATGGGGGGGGGGGGGGGCGCAGTGGGGGGGGAAGACTAGGAGCTCAGTTTTGGATAGGTTAAGTTTGAGGAAATGGAGCGACATTCAGTCTGATATGTCGTTTAGGAGGTGAGTGATGCTGTCAGAGTGTGAGGAAAGTACTGCCAAGAACCGGCAGTTGTCAGAGCAGGGCTCGGCACAGATCATCAGGGCACTGATGATCCAGTGCCCTGATGATCTGTGCCCAGCAGTGCCACCCACCAGTTCCGCCCACCTGTGCACAGCAGTGCCGCCCACCAGTTCTTTCTTAGCGGTGCCCGCCCACAGTTCTTAGCGGTGCCACCCCCAGTGCCCAGTGCCACCCAGCAGTGCACCCACCTGTGCCCAGCAGTGCCACCTACCTGTGCCCAGAAGTGCCACCTACCTGTGCCCAGCAGTGCCACCCGCCTGTGCCCACCCACCTGTGCCCACCAGTGCCACCCACCAGTGCCCATCAATGCAGTGCTGCCAGTCAGTGCCACCAGTCAGTGCCCAGCGGTTGTGCCAGTCAGTGCCCAAGGCAAAATTTTCAAAATGTTTTGCACTTTTTTTGTTTATAGCGCAAAAACTAAAGCACCCAGTGGCGATTAAATACCACCAAAAGAAAGCTCTATTTGTGAGAAAAAAAATGATAAGAATTTCATATGGGTACAATCTTGCATGACCACGCAATTGTCAATCAAAGTGCGACAGCGCTGAAAGCTGAAAATTGGCCTGGTAAAGAAGGGGGTATAGGTGCCCGGTAGGCAAAGGGTTAAGGATGGGAGTAGGTATTGGTTTAGAAGGGACTGGATCAAGCCATCTTTAGTCACCTGGTCAAGATCATACCTGGAGTCGAGCAGTAAATCCCCCAGAACATTCCATTTCTTATGAGACTGCACTAACTCTTTGCAAACCGTTCACACAGCATGGTATTATGTATTATCTGTGCCCTCTTTATCCTGACCAGGGGTGGACTGACCATTTGGAAACTCGGGCACTACTAGAGGGCCCGGGGTCAGTAGGGGGCCCCATGAGATGCCCCTGGTACCTTTTTCATAGGCTTTTTTGAGTTTGGGCAAGGACACAGGGGCCCCATGATCCCTTATTGCCCGGGGGCCCCATGAGTTGTCAGTCCGCCCCTGATCCTGACTATGAAAGGTGGATGGACAATAGGTTGGCAATGTTTAGAGAGAACACAAGGGCTGTGGCTGAGTTTCTGCATAAAGCAACACAATACAGCCTCTCCGCAAAGCTGTTTTTTCTTGTGGCTTAGTCTCGATGACTCCACTTCTGTTTGTGTTGATAAAATGATTTTTGGTTCCAAGGTCCTTTTCAAATAAATAACCAGAAGAAAACAATGAAAGGTCATGTGTAAAAATTGTTTTTGGAGACCAGTCCATGATCTCATAAATGATAGGCTGTGGGTGGATTGTCAGATCTGCTGCCTTTTTACTCTTGGTATTTTGAAGAAATTGGGAAAATGAAGGAGAGGCAGTTATTAATATTTATTATAAAATACGGATGATGTGCTGTATGAAGCATAGAGGAAAATAATCTTTTGCCTGACTCATACAATTTTTTTTCCTTGCTAGTTTTCAACAAAGTTCGAAAAGTTCCCACCCATCAGAAAATGATCAATTAAGCCATTTATAGGACATTATTCTTACATACACGTAGCGCTACCCCTGCAGGAGCCAATGGTAGATTTGGGTTCTTTGCTCTTGTCCAGTCCTATGTGAGGTTTAACCCTCACTGACACCACCAGTCTACCTTTTTGTAAACCTCAGCAGGCAGACAAGAATTAGAGTCACAACTCTGTAAATGAATACCAGACTATGGGCTTGATTTACTAAAACTAGAGAGTGCAAAATCTGGTGCAGCGCTACATAGAAACCAATCAGCTTCCAGGTTTCATTGTCAAAGCTTAATTGAACAGGCTGAAGCTAGAAGCTGATTGGTTACTATGCACAGCTGCACCAGTGCTCCAGTTTTTATTTTTATTTTAACCATTCCCCGTCCTGCCATTGTATATAAACGGCCGGACGGTGGCAGTGCAGGGGCGGGTGGCCGTTTATAAACGGCCTCCCCGCCCCTTGCTTGTGCGCGTTCCCTGGGAGCACGCAGCACCGCGATCCCGTGCCGGCTGTGTTTTCTGGACACAGTGGAACACCGACCGTCGTACGGGATCTCTGTGCGAGGTCCTGATCATTTGATCACTGATTGGCCAATCAGTGATCACATGAAGAGTAGTAAGCAATGATGTCACTTCTGACATCATTGCTTACTACGTGTGAAATCTGTGAAAGATCACAGAGATCACATGGTACAGGGCTATTCACAACAGCCTTGTACCATGTGACAAGCTGTGACCAATCACAGCTCACACAGTATTTCTCAATGGCTGCAAGAATGCAGCCAGAGAGAAGGAGAAATGATTGATTTTACAGCCTTTATCAGTGTAAAAGTGATCAGTGTAAAAAAAAAAAAATCTTCATCACCCCCCACAAGTAGTACCATGGTGACACTGTACTGCTAGGGTGACAGTAACCTAAATCTAAAAAACCTAAATAATAATATAAAAAAAAATAAAACTGTAAAAAAAATTTTTTTTTAAATTATAATTTTTGGTTATAAACTAATTTGGGTTATTTTTTTTACTAAAAAAATAACTGAATAAATTTTGGCCAAGATTTATGATGAAATATTATTTATTTGCAAAAAGAAAAACACTTTTTTTCTAAATTTTCGGACTTTTTCATTTATATAGCAAAAAAATAAAAATCCCAGCGGTGAATAAATACCACCAAAATAAAGCTTTATCTGTCTCAAAAAAATGCTAAACAATTCATGTGGGTACAGTGTTGCATGACC